ATGTAAGTTTTTCTTGCAGTGTAGTTTATTTACTGGGTGTGCAGTGTGGTGCGGTTGGTAGCACTGTTGTCTAGCTGCACGAATATCAAAGGTTCAAATCTGTGTCTGTGATGTTCTAGAGACCTGTCCTTTGTGTCTCCTGCCTCTCACCTGGTCATTGTTACAGATAAGCAGATAAGATCTAGTCTAGTGAACCAGACCAAATCCTTGCTTTGCAAAGTTTGTTCTAGGAACGCTCCATTGGAACCTCCACAGCCCCTAGCAGCATTCTGGCTGGCCAATCACAGCTTTCTGTAGGGGATTTAAACTGATAAAGCCCTGTGATTGGTCCATAATGGTGGGGCAATCACAGTGCTCTATCCGCATTGTGGGCAAATCACAGCGCTCTATTGGCTTTGTGGGCCAATCAGGGCCCTCTAATCGTCCGGTGGGCTTGATGATGCAACGGTGTGTAACAAGATGGCGACAGCTAATTTGAAACGGCTTTTATGCAGATTTTGGACTATTTGGACTTGGGCTTTAATAGAATTAGGAGCAGATAGACATATTTAAGTCCTTTATTTAGAAGATGGATGTATTTTTGCCGCCTTCAACAGTGGACAGCCTCATTTACCGACATTGGTTGCGGTGAGTACGTCACATTGTTCATTGTCCAGTAGCATGCAGAGATCATTTGAAAGACAACGGTAGAACCCGCCCCATGACCGAGAACCGTCAATGGAGTGTTGTCAGAGTAAACAAGGTATTTATTTAGTCTGGCTTGCCAGGCTAGATAGGCTCCTCATAACCCAACCTATAATGTTGAAACTAGGCCTTTTTTGAAGAATCTGCTCCAAAATGGCATGCCCACACTTTAATGAGTATATTTCTGTAACCTCAATGCCTTTTTGATTGCTTTTGGTCTCATTTTAAAGTAAAATCTTCAGATGTGTAACTATTAGTTTATGTGTTACTACGTATAAATGGACATTGTAAAAAAGTAGATTTTTTTTAATTATTTAATTTTTTTTGTGCCAGCTTAATTTTTATTTCAGGCTGAATAACTCTTTGGAGAAGTGTAGCAGTAGCTTCAGACTTCAATAAATACATAGCTCTACATCTCGACAGTAACTGTACAAAGTTTGAATTTGATAACTTGAAGAACAACAATTCTACAGAGGTTTATATACAGACACTTCAGCAGGTTTTTTTTTTTTTTGGCTGTCTTTGGAAAGCCAATCGCAGGAGTAGAATTGCCGTTAATCAGGAAATGATGGAACTTTACGTCAGAGAGTTGTAAAGTTTCTCCAGCAGGTAAAAACAACCCAAAATAGTCATTTATCTGCGCCGTTTGGTGATTGGGACATAGAATTACATGAAACGAGTGGATTTATTAAACTATAACATGGATTATGTCCAGGAAACAGCAAAGGTAAGACTGAATTTACGCATCAATCATCATGAAATTGGCTTTGTTTTGGTGCTTTATCAGTTGGCTTCATGAGTTTTGCACATAGAGTAATGAGACTTATGTTGTAGGATGGAAGCGAGTCTGGGCTTTAATTTAAATGGCTGCTGCTGTGGATAGGATCATAGTGCAATGTCATTACTGTGTTTTTCTTTATCAGTGTAGTTGACGTGTTTTTGCGGCCATGTCACTTAGCAGCTAATTGTTGCATTTTGTTGGCCAAAGGTGTTGTTGAGGGAGAACATGTGGATTCTGTAGTTTAGATGAGCCTCTTCCTGTTACGTACGTGTGCAGTTTGCATATATTGGTGAATATCAAGCATGGTTTTTGTACAATTTTGTCACCGGAAGTGCGCTCGGACCAGGTACCGGCCGGGTCCGTCGGATTCAACACTAACCCTACACTTGTCTACCTGCCTAAAACACGACATTGAAACCACAAATTGCAACATCACCCTATGTTCAACCTTCAAACCTAGACCATGACCTAGGCCTAAACCCCACCCCATATCCTAACCAGAAGCCAAAACACTAAGCTTTACATACACTGCAACTTTTTCAGTTGTTGCTTTTATCTCAAACTGTATGACTATTTCTCAGGACAAAGCACATTAGTCATGTTCTCAAGCGTAATGCTTAGATGCAACCTGACTGCTCACACTGTACGTGTGTTAGCATTAGCCAGACATTTTACCTAAAAATAGGCTAAAAATTGTCGTTTTTACACGGTACAGACTTTTGCATCTGAAAACCCAAAAGAGAAAATACTGTTGGGCTGTTATTGAGGTCTGTTGTCCTTGAGGCTTGCTGTATTTAAAGCACGCATGGGTTTATGGGGGTTGGAGGAGGAAGAAGAATAAAAGGAAGTAAACCAAAGTTTGCAATCCATTATTTGACATAAACACAGCAAACACACTTTCATGACCATCCTTGCCGTTGAGTGTGGAGAAAAGTGTGAAAATAAAACTATGGTAAATGGCCTGTATTTGATATAGCGCCTTCTAGAGTCCTGGAACCCCCCAAGGTGCTTTACAACACAATCAGTCATTCACCCATTCACACACACATTCTCACACTGGTGGGGATGAGCTACGATGTAGCCACAGCTGCCCTAGGGCGCACTGACAGAGGTGAGGCCTGCCGAACACTGGCGCCACCGGTCCCTCCGACCACCACCAGCAGGCAAGGTGGGTTAAGTGTCTTGCCCAAGAACACAACGACAGCAACAGACTGAGTGGGGCCCCAACCTGCAACCTCCCGATTACGGGGCGAGCAGTTAACTCCTGTGCCACTGTCGCCCAAAACAAGAATGTATGAAAATGGAAAAGGCTGGATGTATTGGTGCTTGCACTGTGTGCGTCGTTCAGGTATATTTGGGTCATGGCACTGCTTAACAGTGCGGTACCCTCAAAAGGGACGAGGATTTTTGATGTTCATGCGACTGCACACCTGCCAATCAGGAGCTGGTGGTGAGGTGTTAGCCAATTATCTTTACCCCATACTACACGACCCAAAACTTGGCCCGACCTCAAAGATTGTCACACAAGAGGAAAATTGGCTTAAAATAGGCAAAGAATCACAGTGCATGACCAGCTTTAACACATCGTTCTTCACCCCCACACCTATCTTGACGTTACCCGTTCCCCCTGACTTCCATTTCAACCCAAACCATAATTCTTCTAGATTCCCACATCAAGCAGAATCTCTTTTGATCACTTTACCCTTGGAATAAAACAAAGGGACAATAGTAAATACACCTAAGATATATCTGAAATAGAGAACTGGAAATGACATGCAATGGAGCATGCATTGCGTATGGCTTCTTATCAAACTTCTTGGGTCAATGGACCTGACAGGGGCTACCATCGAGCTAGATTTACTAATCATAACATGACAGGAATAAGCAGGTCAAATAATAGATCAATTGATAAACATTGTTTGAAGCAGCATTTATAAACATTGCTGGCTCTTTGAATATCACCGTTATGGATCCTGGTCCTTTGGACTTCTTCGTTAACTGTTGTGTTCAGTAAATACTAATCAGAGATCAATTAAGAGCTTTCACAAGTAATGACTGCTGTCTAAAAACATTGTTTATAAAATAGACAGGTGATCATTAAAATTGGTTTAATTTTGTAGACTGTAGTTGCAGTTTTAGGAGTAATTTAACCCTTGCAGCAATGCATGTATAGTGCAAATCTACGTTTATGTTGATAAGACCCCCATCCCCCTCCTCATGTTGCACTCCCATCCTGATCTGATCTCCGGGGTCTTGTTGTTTGTCCATTGGTCTGAGTGAAACAGGAGAGTAAACAGAAACCTCAGCAGGGAGTCGCCATGTCTCTACACAATCATGAGGGGAAATTTCCACTTGATACTTTAACATCATTTTAGTAATTCACACTAAATCAAATCCGTTTTAACACGATTACCCAAAGAGGCAAGTTAATTTGATCAGGTGTGGAAAAAATATAAATAAAGTGCTGAAAAGGTGATTCAGATAAGAGACCTTACAAAGCAGCACGTTATGTCAAAGCGGTGCTCACTCTTTATAATGCTAACTCTATTAAACCCGCAAATGAGTGCTAAATGGAGAAGTGTGATAGGAGTCAAATTTAGGCTCCGTGTTCTTTTAACTCGTTATTTTTACCCTTTTTTATGGACAAAACAATAGATTATACTGACATAATTGCTTTGCAATACCTTTTTGTTTTGATTTCTGATGTTTTGTTAACATAGAAACTGTATTTAAAAAACAATGTAATTGATGTACTTTCACTAACAAACTTTTCTTTGTACAGGTTATGGTATTTCTGGAATTTCAGTCAAACAGTGAAAGGAAGGAAAGGTTTTCCGGCATATTTGTTGTAATATTGCAGACGTGTTTGTCTGTTTTGAGTGGAAGTATGTAGGAAACAGGCTCTAGTATCCGGCTATTTTTGCCTCGTCTTGATAAGAGAAGGTGTTTCCTCCTCTGCCAGCACGACTCCTTGGGGCCCATTGTGTGGAAGCAGTGGTGATTTATTATTGGAAAGTGTGTGATTAGGGTCCCTTGCTTGTCTGGAGGGGCAGTGGTTTGGGTGGCTGGAGGAAAAGGGCACGGAAATGGGGTTGAGGGTCCGTCTGACTCTGCAGCAGGATACTGTAAACTGGGGGATGGGAGTTCGCTTGAAGGGGTAATACAAAGAATCTGGGTTAGATGTGGATCCCCCCTGCTGTTCCAGCTGGACTGGGTATAGTGCCACTGTCGTTCGATCCTGGTGTGACATCATCGCAGCTTCCTGTGTGGGACACAGGCATTCCCAGTGTCCCCACCCCCAAGAAAACAAACAGCTGGTGTGTTGACAGGATCTCCACTGACTCCAGAGACAAAACAGGACAAGCTAATCATTATAGCGAAGCAATAAAGGGTGTCCCTCGTCTCCACACTGATCGTGACATCAGCAAACAGAACAGGAGGGGGAAGAAGTTGTATTGTTCTCCTGATAAAAGCTGCTTGTTGTAAATGTTTTGCACTCATCCCTTTTCTTTTCTATCTCTCTTGTCGTGTGCAGCTGAGAAGGTGTCGTCGCTGGGCAAGGACTGGCACAAGCTGTGTCTTAAATGTGACCGCTGTAACAAGCTTCTGAACGCCGGAGGCCACGCTGAGGTCAGTAACAATAGGAGCAGCACAGAGACAGCACTGCCACCACTTCTGATCTTTGGTGTATTCATTTGAAGTCCGTGTCTCACCAGGCAGGGACTGTCTGCAACAATTTTCAAACCATGTTCAGACTTTTCAGGTCTTCCCAAGAGATGTTTCAAACTCCAAACCAAAGGTCTGTGACCTCTCAGGCTGTTGTATCTCCACAGCTCAATGTTTACGGTTGTGAAATAACAGGAAGCCACTGCTGCTTGCTTATTATTTCATTCATTGAACTTTAGCTCTCACATGTTTTGATGTTTTGGCCTTTTGAACCTTGGATTTTTATCATGATCTTGCTGTGTGCGCTCTTTCCTTTCCCTGTCTTATGTTGTGTGTCTTTGTCAATATGTTGCGTCCTCGTGAGATTTCTAACTCCCTTAGCTCTGCAGGATGAGCTGCTTTCAGATCCTTCCTCTCTATCTTATATAATCAGACTGCAGCATCCATTCCCCTGACTGTGCACCGCTCGCTCACCCTTGGGGGGGCTCTCTTATCTTTTCCTTTTGATTTTGTCGTTCACGACCCGACCAACAGCTCCTTTCCACTCTCTCTTTGCAATGCACCGATATCAAACATGCACCAACTGGAATATCCGGCTCCCGTCAAAGAGGATGTGATCTCAACCTCTCTCGGTGTACCAAAGCAAATCATCCTGGCAGACCCTAATGAATGCTGGTCTGCTCTTTAATCTCTGCTTGATTAGAATAACGTAGTCACACAGTCTCTGTGAAGCCCGCGCACTCTCCATCCATCCCCTTCTATGGATAACATCCAAATCCCACCCGGGCTGCAGCTTCATGCCACAAAACTGACTTTAACAGGAAAGAAATCTATGCTTCATCGTCATCGTGGAAACTGAATGTGGGGGGACATTTTTAAGCTGCATGGCTGGATGTTCTGGGTCATTCTTTGTTGTCACCGCTGGCCTTTTATGTAGAAGGTAATGAACCTCCGAGCAGGATGGGCTGTTTCTTTAAAAGGAGCTGAGGACAGCGGTCAGACCCATGTGGCCTGATGTCTGTGGGCTGAAGCAGGGCAGCCGTTCCCCGAGGCCTCTGGCCCCGAGCCAGATATGAGACAAACTGACAAGTCACCACCGTCGACCCTGAAAGAGCGCGCCTATTACATCTGCACCACTCTGAGGCATTTCAGCAATCACAGCGAGAGAGCTAAAAACATCTGGAGCATCTGGACTCCGTTAAACTTCCATGAATCCTAATGGTCAGGAATTAGTTGAGTGCTAATTTCAAAACTTGTTTTGGTCTTTAAGGACTTCACATCCTGTGCCTTAAGTTTTTTTTTTACACTTAAAGGGGCAAGTCCCAGAGGTGTGACCAAGTCACTGCTTTGCAAGTCACAAGTCATTCCAGTCAAGTCCAAGTCAAAGACAACCAAGTCCAAGTCGAGTCCAAAGTCAGTGATGTGGAAGTCCAAGTCAAGTCCTAAACTTAGAATTTTCAAGTCATAATCAAGTCATCTGTTCAACTTCAATTTAATGACTATATTAAATAAATTCCAGAAATAAAGCTTCTTAAAGCTCCGTTTATTTGCTCAAACCAGCAGATAAACAAAGTGCTGCTGCATTTAGCTGTACAAGATCAAACTTAGAACCAAGAATGATTCATGATTTTTGTCCATGTCGTGCCACTTTTGTGCTAAAATATTAAAGTCAACAGATGCAAGTCGATTCAAGCCCCACGTCATTGACATTCAAGTCCGAGTCAAGTCGTAAGTCTTAACAGATTTTATGAAGTCAAGTCAGAAGTCCTGACTCCAGTCCAAGTCATGTGTCTCCAGTCCACACCTCTGCCAAGGCCTTTAATTTTGTGTCCCATGGTTTTTACGTTTTACATTGAAAAACAAAAGTGGGGGTTTTTTTTGGTCCAAAAAATAACAAAGTTTACCTCTTTTATTTCATGGTTTATTCGTTGTATTTATCATAGTTTTTATATTTTCCCTGTGAAGCACCAAGTCGTTTTTAAAGTGTAGCATCAGTAAAGTTTGGTACCATTCATCTAGACAAGGGGAAGACAACTTTGCATTGAGAGCACCATTTTTTCCATCTCTACTAACAAAACCTACACTACCTTTCAAATTAAGAGCAAAGGATTTATCTATTCATTATTCTGTATTTCTCTACATATGTCCAAACCAAATAGCATCCTCATAATAGAACTAACTAAATATTTTAAATAAACAATTTTGGACTTTCTTCCTCAGAACTTATTATAGACTGGTATTACAATAAATAACTCCCCTTTAGGCTGATCTGAAACTGAATAATTACATCAGATTGTTGCTTAATTCAGAATTAAATGTCCCAAAAAGGCCAAAACTAAGTGTTGCTTTTGCCTAAGATATGTTAAAATGTTGATTATTGGGTGGGTTTGGTGTGAAACCTCTCAGAGATTTACAAATATGAACTCCGTCTAACAAACCACAGTAAAAGGGACCACTGCATCATCAATCCTTAGTTGTTTTTGGGTTTATAAATGATTGTATTTTGGGTTTTTTCTTTCACACAAACTCCAAACACTCCAAAAAGTGTTTGTTTATGTTGTCAATTTAAACACAAACATTCAACTTTGTTTTGTGTTATTTTTAATTGGTTAAAAGAGGCTCTCTAGATGGGCTAGATGGACATAGGCCTGTATGGTATTCCTGATTAAAAGAGACAGAAACCGGGTTTAAGTTTCCGTAAGTTAGAGTCCTGGACCAGTTTACTGATAAGAAGCTGCTGGCAGAGTCCTGACCAACACCAGGAAATGTGCTGGCTCCCTGCTTCTAGAAGGATGGATTTGTTAGGAATGAACCATCCGTGTACAAAGCTTTTCAGCGGTAAAGTCGGGGAACATCACGTTTCTGTATCGGCCTTGTGGAATACTCCTTCTGTCTTTTTGTTAGCTTCTAAAATAATGAAATAGAAATAATACTGGGATGAAAACATCCAGTCTGTTTTTGAGACCAGTTGGCAAAAGCTCTTATCTGAAACCAAGACGCCGTGACCATATTAGTCCGGTGTTGGCGGGACTCCACTGGCTTCACATGCAGTACAGAGCAAAGTCTGAAGTGCTGATGCTTGCTTTATTTTTTTAAACCTTATTTTCATTTATTCAAATAAAAAGAAAAATAAACAATATACAAAAGTAAATTAGTAAAACCAAAATGAAAAGGGGACAGAAAGAAGAAAAACTTATGTTGCCTGCCCCTTTTAACTAATAATGCTAATGCAAATGAAATAACAGTATAATTGTAAATGAACTTTTAACATAGTGATTGCTGGACTGATTGAGTAACAAAATTTAAATTTATAAAGTAAAGCAAGAAAAAAGGAGAAAAACTAATTAACTCAAAAGGAGAAGAATATTTACATACCTACATACTTGCATATATTATATGTATTTACATACATACATAAATGCTTTTAGGGCTCTTCACGGTACTGCTCCTGCCCATTTATCAGCACTACTACAAAGGCGTGTCTCCACCCGCTCTCTACGCTCTGTTGACCAGGAATTTCTGGTGGTCCCTTGTTCCAGATGCAAAACGAGGGGAGATCGTGCGTTTGTGGCCCTTGCTTCAACTTTGTGGAATGGTCTACCTTTGACTGTTAGGCTGGCGCCTTCCTTCCAGATGTTTAAGTCATGTCTGAAGGCCCATTATTATGTCCAGGCATTTTCACCACTGGGGTCTGCAATTTTGTCTGGATTTTAATAGTTTAATTGTTGATTTTTATCTGTTTTATGCTGTTTTTATTGTGTTTTTATATTTTTGATCTTTTGTTGTATTTATTAGTGTGACTGCTTTTTGTAGTTGTGTTCAGCACCTTGGGCTTCTGCTAAAGGTTGTGGAAGGTGCTCTAAAAATTAATAGATGAAATAAATTAGATGAAACCAGAACAAAAGGGGACAAAATGAGGTTGACTCTGGGTCATTTCTCATGATTGAGCCATTTGATAAAATAGTAAGTAGTCAGCCCAGAATCTAACCACTTCATGCATCTCCTCCAGAGTGTGAGACAGCTTTAAAGCAGCTGATCCAGTCACGGTCTAATGCATTATTAAAGGCGGCGAGGATCCTCTTTTTTTTTCTTCCACATCGTCTTCTGGGGGAAAAAAGAGCTCAAGTGACCAGATTGTCCCCTCACCACCCAGAACTGGGCCCCCTGTTTGCTGTTTGTCTCAAATGTTCTCATCTATGGTCACCGGGTCTCGGGTCACCGGTCTTCCTGGCTCCCGGCCCTGATTCCAGAGCCCATCACACGCTTCTGTGTTTCAGCACCAGGTCCTTGTGTCACAGCTCAGGTTATTTTGTTCCTCCTGAAAGTGAAAACGGGCCCAAGGCTCTGACTGAAGGGTGCTGATCAACGGAAACCTGTTTCTTGGATACAGCAGGAGTTATTTTGGGTTTGGGCAAAAGGTAACATCATCGGATGAAAGAAAAATAAAACAAAAGGACATCAGAAAACTAGATGTGATGTCTTATGCATGTCGTGTCCAGTTCTCTCCCCTGGGTGTCTTTGTCCTCATGTGTTTCTCTGTCTCCTGCAGCACGATGGACGGCCCTACTGCCACAAACCATGCTATGCTGCCCTCTTTGGGCCAAAAGGTAAAATGCATGCAGTTGTACTTGTTATGTAACGTGCTCATGTTGGAATGTAAACCGTTCCCCTGGTTACATCTTTGCAGGTGTCAACATTGGCGGAGCAGGATCGTATGTGTATGACGCTCCAGCCAACAACAACGCGTCTCCCACTAGTGTGGATTCAGCCTCAAAAGCTGAAGAGAAGCGTGTGTTCGCACCCAAAGCTCCTTCAAAAGGTAAACACAGGAAAGGCGTCTTTAGTGGAAAGCTGCTAGGACCTCAGAGGGTGGAAGTGCTGGGAAGAATACAGAAATAAAAGATATTCCTTACTTAGGATTTAGTCTCTGTTCTGGCTGTAAGCTTTAAAGGGATACATGTGGAACATTTTGTGGAGTAGCTTTGGCAGGAAAGGAATGAGAGAAGTGTTTAAGTCACTTCGAAAGTTATTTGATTTTCCCTTCATTATTAACCCAGAGGACTTTACACTCATTAGACCTTTTCTAATGTGTGTGTGTGTGTGTGTGTGTGTGTGTGTGTGTGTGTGTGTGTGTGTGTGTGTTTGCAATTTATCTGCAGCTGGCAGCATCACCACTTTCTCCGGCGAGGCCAACCTGTGTCCCCGATGCAACAAGAAGGTGTATTTTGGTGAGGAGTGAAAGAGGGAGGAGGAACGTTGGAGTGTGAAGACATTAAGTGTCTGATTGGTTGTGTGTGTGTACGTCTGTGTGTGTGTTATTTCTATAACAGCTGAGAAGGTGACGTCTCTGGGAAAGGACTGGCACCGACCCTGTCTGCGCTGTGAGAGATGTGGTAAAACTCTGTCTGCTGGCGGCCATGCAGAGGTGAGACTGTGTTTTAGACTCATATTTACAAGAAACGAGGATTTCTTTTAGTTAAGTGAGGAAGTCTACTCTTAAGATTTAAAGATGTCTTAACTATGTCTCAGTTTGAGTCTTGTTTCATTCACTATTTGGTTACAACAGCTTTTCTCACATTGCCTTTTATATTCTGACTTACAGAAACAAAAAAGCAGCAGGTTAAACTTAAAAACCAAAGTGAGGCCTCTTGACTTGTGCAAGACAATAAAGAACCCTCATGAGAGTGTCGAGGCATTTTGGAATCAAAGACGGAGGCATTTCATGTGTAATTAGAATCATGTTGTAAACTTTTGTTTTCTATACATTCTTGTGTCTTTGCTGTTTGTTTGATTTGCTTAAAGAAAGAGAATATAAGACACAGAGGAGAAGGAACGATGGTCAAAAAGGAGGAATCTGGATTACAGACCAACTGAATAATAGTATTTTTACACACAAAGAACTAAAAATGTATGGTAGCAGGAGCGATAACTAATAGGTGTCCCACACACTCATATAAACACATAAACACACATAAAAGATGAAAAATAAATAGCACATAGCAGCAAAACAACATCTGAGGTGTGTTTTTATTTTCTAAAATGTCCTTTTTTTACACTGAGTGGGCGGGGCTTAAAGCTTGTACAGCATCTGGCCATAAACGGGGATCGTTTGTGTCTGATGAAGACTAACAGCCATTAGGTGATCGGGATGTTTGATTATTGCTTCTCCCTGATCTGTGGCTTGGTGGAAAAGCTCCCGCTGCAGGTTCGTTTAGGATCCTTGCAGCAGAGATCGGTAAAGATGATCAGAGTCAGCTGTTGTCCCACAGAAGAGGTGAACTCCCATCAGCAGATAGATGCAAGACAGGACCGATAATCGCTTCCAGCACCTTTAGGAGCTTCTGTCTTTTGTTTACCCACTTGTATTCTGGGAAGATCGCCGTGGCGACCCTCCCAACCAGCAGCAAAAGTGTGTACTGAGACCTGAGACCCACTGTAAACAAACACTTGGAGACATTAAGTTGTGTAGTCTGGAGGATGTGATTACACACATCTGGATAATGAGCAGGTTTTCAATTACAGCTCCTCTTCAGACACAAACACTTCCTGGAACGTGTTGCTAAACGAGAAGGACATGAAGATAAGGATGGGGAGATGATCCGTGTGAGTTTGGGCGACGGTGGCACAGGAGTTAAGTGCTCGCCCCGTAATCGGAAGGTTGCAGGTTCGAGCCCCGCTCAGTCTGTCGCTGTCGTTGTGTCCTTGGGTAGGACACCTAACCCACGTTGCCTGCTGGTGGTGGTCGGAGGGTCCGGTGGCGCCAGTGCTCGGCAGCCTTGCCTCTGTCAGTGCACCCCAGGGCAGCTGTGGCTACATTGTAGCTCATCCCCACCAGTGTGTGAATGTGTGTGTGTGAATGGGTGAATGACTGATTGTGTTGTAAAGCGCCTTGGGGGGTTCCATGACTCTAGAAGGCGCTATATCAAATACAGGCCATTTACCATTTAAATTCAGACAGGAGCTACTTTCTCTAGACCCACCCTCTGATTTAGCCATTTATGTGCTAAGGCATCCAGAGTTCTCTGTTTTGTGACCAAACACATGTCCGCTTCCTTCTTTAGAGGATAAGGAAGTGAACGTGTTAGGTGGAGGATGGTTACTGCTGAGTGTTGACATCAGATTAATGCTGCTTCATGTTGATAAAAGGTGTCTGATCCCTGCTGAACTGGAAAACACCCGTAAAGTTCTGGTATCTGTAGGATGTCATGGAAAAGAGACTCTGCAAAGCTGAGTGAACTCAAACCTTTGTGTAAACATGGTCAGATGGATCCAGGCTTTGATCCTAGAAGGTTTTCAGTCTTCAGCACTAAAAGTCTGCATCAAGCTTGGAGAAAAATATGTAATTATGCAGCACTTCAGGGCCGATTACAAGCCTTTGCGTCTTAATGTTTCTGTTTTTGGACAGTTAAGTCGTTTTAATTTCATGTAAATGTGTTTGAGTCTGTTTATGAAATCTCTAACATTTGTTTCTCCCACCAGCATGACGGCCAGCCTTACTGCCACAAACCCTGCTACGCCGTTCTCTTTGGGCCCAAAGGTAACCGCTAGGGGGCGCTGCCGTCTCACCAGTTATCACTTAAAAGAGAATGTCTCACAAGCGTTTCTCTAGTTGTTTCATATGCAGCCTCCACACCCGTGCAGCCAGCTGCACAGGAAGTGTTTTGCAACCCGTCCTGCTTATGCTGCACCTCGTTTTCTCCTTCTTTGTCCCCGCTGACTCCCTCTGCTGTCCCTGTGGTCTCTCCAGGCGTCAACACCGGTGGTGTGGGCAGCTACGTCTATGACAAGGAGCCCAGTGCCGTGACCCAGCCTTGAACCTCTCCCCCCTCAGCCTCACCCATTCTTCTCTACACTACACTGACCGTCTACCACAGTATTTTCTGTAGCCTTTATTTGTACTTCTCCTCCCCTCCACTTGTACATTCACACCTGAGAAGGCATCCATCTGCCGTGGATCCTCCCCCAAGTCCTCTCCTTTGCTCTGGATCACATAAAGCAGCATGAGGAGTAGCAGACTGGTACATCCTTCCACTAAAGGGGCACAAACACATCCAGCATTCCCACATTTATGCTTTCTTCCCAAATTTACTCCACAAATTTTACAGAAGAACACAGAAAAGTCAAAAATTTCAAAATTCCACACAAGTGTATTCATGGGACATGATTCAAACTAAAAATGATAGAAAGGTGCATTGTGGGTAGATTGATGACAACAAGCAGAGAAATCCAACCTTGAAGGCTGCTGCATGCACAGATGGTGCCCAGGAGTGGAGCACGTTGCCAATAAATCTGCATTTTACTAATGTCATATTTGTACTTTGGCTGCATAACAACATTCCTGCTGTGAAAAAAATCCAAAAATATTGTAAAAAGGTGCATTTCTGATGTTATTTTCAACACGTCCTGAAATGTTCTTTTTACCGTTTTATTTTAATTTTATTTTTTTTATCCGAATCTGAAGGAACTAAAATGTGATTGTGAGCGTTTCCGCCAATCTGTTCCATATAAAGTATTTTACAGGTAGAATGTTGAGGAAGTTTCTGGAACATATTTATTTCTTTAACTGAAGTTTTTTTTTTGTAGATGATTGAGAATATTAAAGCAATAAAATGTCAGCTGTATAAATCTCTGAACAAGATTTTTATAATAAAATTCAAAACCCTGCTGTTCTTCTCCAACAGATGATGCTCTGCTTGAAGTATTGTGTATTTTTTTGCTATTTGCAAATGCATTAGATTAGCTTGTAGAACTAAAGACAAGTCATTCTGTAAGAATGTGCATTCTAGTATTATTGTTCGATTGCCACTGTGTTTATTACTTGATGTCCATCGTCACTGCAGGGCTCGTTTGATTCGTACCACAGCACCCCTGCTGCTCGTTTCTTAGATTTCAAGAGTGAATGTTTCAGAAACTCTTCATCTGTGTTACTAAAGTCAATGTTGGACTCCTTTTTCTTTTCAGAAACTGCAATAAATGAACAGTAAACGTGTTTGTCTCATTTTGTCAGACGTTTTAGGATGATTTGACAGTTTCTTGTATTTGTGACAAACTAACAGCAACCAGGGTTTAAATAGTCTTCATGGAAGCAACGCTAGAGTTTTAAACACTATAAGCTATTGCTTTTAAAGTGGTTTCAGTGATTCTTGGGGTGGAAACTTTACCAACTTCATATTTGACATCACCCTGAAGCCGTCTTCCGTGACACGCTACTGTCAGCAGACAAGATGAGATAAAAAATATTAGTTATCCCCACACGTGCACAATTCCGCACACAGCACCTGACCAAACCAGTGGTTAAATGTGCCGACAGGTCTACGGCAGAGGAGAGATGGAGGCAGAGCCGGATTAACGCAAAGGCAAAGTAGGCACGTGCCTAGGGCCTGATTGGCTGGATGGGGCCCAGACAGAGGAACAAAATTATAAATAAATAAATTAAAAATTAAATGTACAAATGTCCTATGATAGAATTTGTAGCTAGGACTCCTATCTACAATTTGTTTCAATAATTTATCAATTAACTAAAAATAGTGACAATGTTTATCTTAACCATAGACCGTTTCATTGGCTACGTCACATTAAACCTCTGGGGTCCACGGACAAGTATACGCGTCTTTTGAACAGGTCTGATTTGGGATGCTGTAGCAGCAAGACTCCGCCTCCCTGGGTTTCGGTTTCAATTCAGCTTTAAAAAGGAGATTATAAACTACACCCCAGTTTGTAAATTTTGTTAATAGGCAACGTAAAAGCGGAGTTATACTAAACTAAAAAATGACCTATTTTTAGACAATCTGATAACTTGTCAAAACAGCGGTTTAGTAATCTGTGAGCGGGAATGTGCTTGTGAACATTAAAACCCCACAAAAACACGAGATCCTTTTGCTGTTGGTGGAAGTCTCACATATTCAGTTGATAAAAAGTATCATTATGTAGCTGAGAGAGAGAAAGGAAGGCTGCACGAGTAAAGAGATGTGCGCAAAAAGGAGCCGCTTCGCGGGGAAAGTAGTGGCGGGAACGGAGTAAGAACAAACAATTAGACAGATATTGACGGTAAACTTTGTATTTTGGAGCGATCCGGACAGATATATTGTCTCTGCAGTTTAGTAGGCTTTTACTAGGCTTATATAAAGGATGATGAGAAGGATAAATGTCCACCAGGCAGTTCAGATAGTACGGCTGTTTTTTTTTTAAACTGGAAGCAGAGGAAGTGGACGGAGACTCGCTGAGGCAAACAGCGAGGATGTTGATGATGATGTGGCAGATCCATCCTTCCTCATAGAAGAGTTGGGTGTTGATGAGGTGGAAGATGAAGGCAGAGATCCAGCTCCTCGAGGAGTGGGCGGCACCGCGCAGCTGTCAGATCTCGGCGTGAGACGGAGCCACTCTTCTCTCTCCAAAATCCATGTATATTATTGCCAAATTAATAAAATAAGTATAAATTCAGATAGTCCAGGTTGTCCTGAAATTAATGATACCCCATAAGGCAATATTTATTGTTTTTATTAGAAAATACAAAAGAAAAACCAAAATGAGTCAAAAACGGTGATTTACACTCTGGATCCCAGAGAGCTAATAATTTTTTTTAATTAGTTATTTGCTATATTTAGTCATATTTTTTATACATGTACAGTCTAGATTACCAGTCTAAATGATGAAAAAACATTCGTCATAAATGTTTGTTGGTTTCACAGTAAAATAAACAACTTTTTTCCTATTCAGATTTTATGTTTTTGAGTGATTTAAGGTCTAATATGCAACCCCTTTATGTCCAAATATAAAAAATAAGTATAGATTCATAAAGTCCAGGTTGTGCTGAAAAGATTGATACCACATAAGGCAGTGGTTATGGTTTTTATTCTGGAAATACAAAGGAAAACTCACGGCAAATTACACCCTGGACCCCAGAGGGTTAAGGCGCCACCCAATTAAGGACGTCAGAGAAGCGGTCAGAGTTAGAGCGGGACACAACAAAGCTAGCAGGTGTTTTTGAGTAGGCTAACTTTCATGATGCTTTCGGGTGTGGCAAAACGTAAAAAAAAAAAAAAAATGAAGAGGAACTAAAGAAGAGACAGCGGGGGGCTTTACAGAAGTTTCTGTCGGGCTGCTCGGGCAGCCGTCCGACAGCTGTGAACATACTCGAGTCAGCAGAGCCAGAGGCCGGGCCGAAGTCAGACCCGGAGGAGACAGACCCAGGAGAAGCTGGGGACAAAGAGGCTGGAGCTACAACTGGAGGGGATGGGGATGATTGAATGCCTACAAACAGGAAACACATAAATGAGATGCAGACAAAGGACACATGAGGGCGCTATGAGACACAAAAGGGAATCTAGAGAGGGATGGAGAAACATCAGGAGACACATGAGGGAAGATGCAGACCATGACAGCAGGATAATGCACCATGTCATAAAGCTCAAATCATTTCACATTGGCTTCTTGAACATGACAAGATCGGTCAGATCTGGGATACGGCGAGAAGACCCGTGAGCCTGATCTGGACTCCAGGGAGGATGCTGAACATCTTCAGAACCAAAATCAGTTCAGTTTGTTTACTTTAGATGAATGTTTCATTTCTAAGCTTGTAGCCCTCAGCTGACGAGTTGTTAGCTGACCATTAGCCCCATCATACCGTCCGAATATAATTCACTAATCTATAGATAAAACAATGTGCTGCCAGTTGAACCGCTGCGTGTTTATATTGAAATAACTCCAGAACAAATTGAATCGATAGATCAGCAGAATAATTCCTCCGGACTGGGATGCTGCAGTAGCTCGCTAGCTTGTGTTTGTAGTAATCCAGGATGGTTCTGAGGTTCTACCGGTCTCTGGAGGATCCATTGTTGAAATATGTGGATCTTCTTTTAGATCTTATCTGTGTGAGTGTGTCGTGGCTTTCCAAATGACTTTTCCCCTTGCTAACACAGTTAGCTGTGTTGCTGCAGTCATGCTAACGGGACTCGTCTGGAGTGCAGAAGGACCGGTAGCGGTTCCAGAGAGATTTAGGTTATTATTTTAGGTCAAACCGTTAGTTACAATGTGTGTAGGACTCCGACATAGGGTTCAGACGTTTTGCTGCAACAGTAAACACAAATTTCTGTAATTATTGAATATGAAGTTGATTAAAATACAGCTAATCACGACGTACTAGCGGCATGAGCTGCCCTGTAAGACATCTTTTTAGTGACGTATGACAAACAGCTCTTCACTGTTTGGAGGAATTTAGATTTTTATGATGATTTATGACAAAATTCCTTAAAATGAATAACTGAACCTAGTTTATCTTTATGTAGATGGTAAAGTGTAGTGAAACAGCGTTAGTCTCAGTCGGCATAAGCAGCAGGGCCCTGCAGGGAATCGAACCCCGTCTCATTACTGAGAGTTCCGTTACCAGAGCCTTTTGCTTTGGGCGACCGGAGACGGTAAAGCAAAACCTGCATCAACACAGCATTTAATGTTGGAACATAAATTCTGTCTTGAAGCAGGAAAAAAGAAACCGTCAGAATAAATAATTATTTCTAATTAAATTCATTTTAGTATTTTATAAACGTTTTACAGATTTAGAGCCTCCTTTGACTTTTATGCTTTTCGTTAACTTCTCGTTCTTTTACGATGTTTATCCGTTCTTTAGTCGCGGTCAAACGCATCGTAATTTTGTTCTGCGGTGAATCTTAAAGTTATGTTGAATGTAAATAATCTGAGTCTTTATTGCTTTAGTTTAACAGCACAGTAACTTGTTAAAATATTCAAGTTAATTTGAATCATTTACATGTTTAGACTATATTTTATTAGCCTTTAATATTTTAGTATTTATTGTTTAACTTTTGTAAAGAGCTATTTTTAAACGCGTGCACATTTAAACACTAAAACCTTTGTTTGCTCCGTCTGTGTCAGAGCTCTGCTGTTCAGCTCCTTCCTGGTTCCTGCAGGACCACAAAGCCCAGAGAAGCTCGGTCCAGCAGGACGTGAGGACACAAACAGACACAGAGAGCTCCTCCTAAACCTGGAATCAAACTTTTCTACAGATTATTTAGAACAGTTTCTTGTGACAGAACAGTTAGTGAAACAGAAAGGACATGATGAAGATGATGTTATCGTCCTTGTCTTTCATACGGATCAAAGATCACCCCAGCTTATGCTCATGTCACCAAGTAAACGTCCCATTTCTCACTAAGACCTGCTCTATCTGCTCTACCAGATTATCAGAAGCATCACTGTAGTTGTAGTTTTGCCTCCATCTTCCTGCCCTCCTTGGTCTCTTGTTTATCTTCTACCACCTCTCACCATCCATCTCAGGTGGGATCTTGTTTGCTCCGATGGCCTCTTGTGTTCCAGCTTACACCTTTTAGTGAACGTCAGAATATCATGTACTAATATATATGCATGTGTGTGTGTGTGTGTGTGTGTGTGTGTGTGTGTGTGTGTATGTGTGTATGATGCTAAACCAGACTGCCTGCTCCATCAGATGAAAGGAAATCCTCTCAGAACCAAAATAAAATAGAAGATTTAGCAACCAGACACAGAAGCCCAGGTGAAACCGTCCACATCAGCATCTCCAGTTCTACCAGCTCCAAAAACACACTTCTTAAATGATAAAACACTAAACTCAGCCAACGGATGAAGACGTCCTGGTGCCAGACGCTACCTAAGACATCACCAGTTCAGCTGACTTGATAAAACACTTGGTGACTAAAACAAACATCTGGTGACCTGGTAAAAAAACAGTCCTGGTGCAACAAGCTACCTGAGACAAACGTTTCCAGTCGACCAGTTCAAGAAAGAAAGAAAAAAATGATCTTCAGTGACGCTGCACTGGAACAAAAAATATATCTCTAGTCTGAGTCCGAGTCGTCCCATCTTGGTCTCTTCGGTGGGATGTACGGGAAGCGCTCTCATCCTCTTCTGGCTGGATCCAAGGACCGAGGTAGAAGGAGTGGGTTCTTCTACCTCCTGGACCTCTTCAGCGCTCCCGTGGGCAGACCTGGGATCTTCTGGAAG